GAGTAATGAGTCAAAGGGTTATCGTCTATTCAACCCTAAGACAAAGAGGATTGTAATTAGTAAGGATGTAATATTTGAGGAAGAAAAGAGTTGGGAGTGGGGACCTAATTATAAAGAACAAATAGAAGCAGATCTAGTGTGAGATGATGATGGTTTCAGTAGTAGTGATGAGAAACATGGAGGTGAGATAAATACTGATGGATTAGAGGAAGAAATGGAGTTCAATAATGGCGTTGAGGATAATAGGAACAGTGTAAGGGTTAGCACGGCTAGGAATGAAGTAGAGAGTTCACAAGAAAATTTGATTGAAAAGAGAGGGACAAGGACACCATTTTGGATGGAAGGTTTTGTGAGTGGTGAGGGGCTAAGTGAAGAAGAAGCGAAGTCCTACATGGTACAAGACAATATAAGTAATGATCCAACCCTGTTTGAGAAAGCTATCAAGCATGAGAAATGGAGAAAGGCTATGGACAGCGAAATAAACTCAATTGAAAAGAACCAAACCTAGGAGCTCATGAACCTGCCAACTGGAGCAAAAGCAATTGGAGTGAAATAGATTTTTAAGACAAAATTGAATGAGCTGGGTGAAGTTGATAAATATAAAGCACGGCTAGTGGCTAAGGGGTATTCTCAACAACACGGAGTTGATTTTTATGAGGTATTTGCCCCAGTTGCACTAATGGATACATTAAGGATGATTGTGGCACTTGCAGCATGCAGAGAATGGGAAATTTTTCAATTGGATGTCAAATCTGCATTCCTTCATAGAGAATTGAGCGAAGACGTGTACATTAAGCAACCAAAAGGATATGTAAAGAAAGGAAAGGAGCACAAGGTTTACAAACTGCACAAAGCCTTGTACGGCCTAAGGCAAGCACCAAGGGCGTGGTTTAGTTGCATAGAGTCCCATTTCATGAAAGAAGATTCCAAAAATGTCCAAATGAACAAACCTTATTCATCAAAAGAAGCATTAGAGGCAACATATTAATCGTTAGCATTTATGTTGACGATTTGATTTATACCGGTGATGATGTAGGCATGATGATTGAGTTCAAGAAGTCTATGATGCAAGCTTTTGACATGACTGAATTAGGGAAGATGAGATTCTTTCTTGGCATAGAAGTGCTGCAAAAACTAGAAGGGATTTTCATGTGTCAAAGAAAATATGCCACTGATATCTTGAAGAAGTTTGACATGTCTGAGAGCAAACCTGTGAGAAGTCCAATTGTTCCAGGTTTTAAGATTAATAAAGATGTTAATGGTACAGCTGTGGATGATACTTATTTTAAGCAAATTATTGGAAGTTTAATGTACCTTACCGCTACAAGGCCAAATATAATGTTCAATGTAAGCTTAATTAGCAAGTATATGTCAAAACCAACTCAATTACACTTACAAGATGCCAAAAGAATATTAAGGTACTTAAATGGAATTGCTGGCTTTGGAATTTTCTACAAGAAGGGAGAGGGAGAAGACTTGCTTGCTTTCACAGATTCTGATTATGCAGGAGATGAAGAAGATTCTAAAAGTACATCCGGTTATGTTTTTTTATTGAGTTCGGGAGCAGTGTCGTGGATGTCTAAGAAACAACCAATTGTTGCTCTCTCAACCACTGAAGCAGAGTTTATTGCTGCTTCTACTTGTGCATATCAAGCTGTGTGGATGAAAAGGATATTAAAAAACTTAAATCATGTTCAAGAAACCAGCACTCTCATCATGTGTGATAATAGCTCAACAATCAAACTTTCAAAAAATCCAGTAATGCACGGAAGGAGCAAGCATATCAGAGTACGTTTTCATTTTTTAAGAGATCTTGCAAAAGATGAAGAAGTCAAATTGGTGTATTGTGGAACTAAGGAGCAGATTGCAGATTTGATGACTAAAGCTTTGAAACTTGAGGCATTCGAGAAGCTGAGAAAGATGATGGGAATGTTTGACCTCAACGACGTAAACTAACTACATAGTGCATACTGCAGTTAGTTTAAGGGAGGGAATGATAAGATCCATACTGTTACAACATGAAATATCGTTACGACGGGAAGTTCAACTTCCTGATATTGCTGCTATAACTTAGGAGTTTCAATTTTATTGTTTAAATATCTAAGTTTCTGTTTTCATTTAAATGTTCGTGTATCATGTAATAGCTATTTTTTAGCTTTCTGTTAAGTTGTAAAGGCTATATATTAGCCACTTTGAATTCAATAAAAGCAGTCAATTTGCAAGCTATTTCATTCTCTTCATATCTTCACTATTTTTGGGCTGAGATATTTGATTCCAAATCGATTGCACTTGAGCAAGAAAATCATTCACTGATTGACCAGAGTCTTGCTTGAGATTGAGAAGTGTTGTACACAATTAATAGTAGTGAGCCAATCCAATGGTTTGATACTTTTAGCCAAGAAATCCTAGATTGCTTTTGCAAAATTGTATTCAACAAATTGAACGTGAATTGATGGGATAGAGGTACTGCATAACCACTTAATGATTTGATGATTTTTACTATCCCAATCATCAAGACAGTATGCAAATTTGGTATCAGTCTCATCTTTGGCTTTAGTGGGCTTAGTAATATCTCTAGTAATTATACGCCAAAGCTTGCGACCTATCAAGAAGCTTTTCATTCCTTGAACCCAAAGGTTATAGTTGGAGCCATTCAAAGTAGTTATAATGGATGTTGGGACATTAGATTTCTCCATGAGAATAGAAAACAGATAAACAGAATGGGGATATAGTAGATAGAGGCCATAGAAAAAAGAAAAAAAAAATGAGAACAGGAAGGGATTCTAGAACCTAAGCTCTGGACACTATGTTAGCCGGAAAGATGCACAACATATGGAAGGAAAACCTTGTTTTGTTTATTGCATAATAACCTATACGATGATACAATCTGAATATATATACACTAGTAAAGCCTCTAAAATAGAAAATTGTACAAGGATATTTTGATTGATATAATTGCTAAAATTGTGCTAATAGATTCTACTAAATATTGATACAAAAATCTTCTATAAACAGGTATAGCCTAATGATTATGCCAACAAATAATATTTATTTATTTTAAAATTTTAAAGTATTGGGATGGTGTTTCCATGGATGATTTGGACAAGAATCAAAATGAATGCAATTGAGTCTTTTAAGAGTGATTAGTATGTAGCATTTGATTGTTGCATCATGCGTAGTTACTATAGGGATGGAAGGAGGGAACTGTGTTGACATCAAGAGCACAGAGACTATAACTTACTCTAGGAAGATTTAGTGAAAAATTCGAAAGAACCGGAGAGGCTAAATTAATTTTGAAACTCTTCAACTAATAGGCAAACACGCTACTAAATATAATATGACAAAATGTCAAGAAAAGAAAATCTTATATTATAATTGATATGACAAATCATACTTGAACATAATATGGCAAAATGTAATAACAGTTTTTTTTTTTCAAAATAAGGCAAAATTAAAAATAAATTATTAAAATAATGTATTTTCAAAAAAAATTTATTAGAATATTTTTGTTATGTCAATACAATAACTATGTACTTTTTTTATAAAAATTTTCTATTTGTGAATGCTTAAACTCAACTCTCAAATTTAAAGTTAACAAAACTTATTTTTTGTTATTAAAAAAATAAAATTGACAAAAATCTTCAGTTGCATCAGCCGAGTCACAAGCAATATTGTTAATCAACATAGGTAATGAATTACTTAACATGAGTATAAATTAACTGAAGAGAAATTGAATGATCATGATTAATAACCTTATAGACTCTTACACTCTTGACAATGCATAGTCTTCAGCAACCTAGCCAAGAAATAGTCAACCATAAACAATTGAAGTCATATCTTTTAAGGAACCAATAATGATTTGGTGCAAACAAGGACAAGAGTAGAATTCTTTGATTTTTTGAATCGTTGTTCTTTTCTTTTCTGTAGTTTCTTCACTGCTTATTTTCTTCATCATCCCTCTTTTGTTGTTGTTTTGCTCACATCACTCCATTGTGGAGATTGTGGAGTTCTCACTCTCAAAATTGAAATTGTAGATATGATCATTATGATTTGCAATACGTCCTCTTCAACATTTTTAAGAGTTCTCGTCAACTTTATTTTTTTAATAATAAAAAAATAAACAAAATTGTTCTTTTCATCTTTTAACTTTAGGGTAAAATTCGCTTTCGTCCTCTAACTTTTATTTTTATTCATTTTCATCATCAAAGTATTGTTTTTTTTTTCTTCTTAGTTTGTCCTTTCCATTAGCTCTCTTATATAACCTAACAGAGATGTCCTACGTGAACCTTTTTTATTTAAAAATTTATTGAAAATTGGTGAAACTCTCCCCTTCCCCCTTTTTCCTTTCTCTTCCCTTCTCTTTCCTCCTCCCGTAACTTCCCAACCCACTAGCCATGTCTCCCTCTCCTGCAGCTCTTCTTTCCCTTTCTCATAACACTTCTCCCTTCCCACAGCCCTGTATTCCCTCTAGTTCCCCTTTTTCCTCTCTAAAGCTTTTCCTTCTCCCTTTTTGTTCTCATTTTTGCATCATTTTTTACGCTTGCTTATAGCCCTTTTGTGGCTGTTGAGAGAGAAAATATTGAATCTGTGTGTTTAGGGCACAACAGAGTTATTCCAATTTATAGAGAAGAGTAAATAATTACAAAATATACAGTTACTATATTTACAAGATTCTAATAGATTCTAATACTCCCCCTCAAGCTGGAGCATATAGGTCATATGCACCAAGCTTGTTACATATGTAGTTAATCCGAGGACCCCTTAATGACTTAGTAAAGATGTCTGCTAGTTGGTCATGAGAATTGACAAAACTAGTAGATATTTCTCCAGACATGACTTTCTCTCTAACAAAGTGACAATCAACTTCAATGTGTTTTGTCCTCTCATGAAATACTGGATTTGAGGCAATATGCATAGCGGCTTGATTATCATATATAAGTGACATATATGTGACCTCTCCGAACTTTAATTCCAAAAGCAACTATTTGAGCCATATAAGCTCAATACTCCGCTTCCGCACTCGACCGGGCTACAACATTCTGCTTCTTACTTTTCCAAGAGACAAGGTTATCTCTGACAAATATACAGAATCCAAAGGTGGACCTTCTATCTATGGGAGATCTTGCCCAATCTACATCAGAATATCCCACAACTCAAGTGTGTTCTTTGCCTTCATACAAAAGACCCTTTCCTAGAGCTCCTTTGATGTATCGAACAATGCGAATCACTGCATCCCAATGTTCCTTACATGGAGAGTTGAGGAATTGACTTACTACACTAACTGCAAATAAGATATCTAGACAGGTAACAGTGAGGTAGTTCAACTTTCCTACTAATTGTCTGTATCTTTCAGGATCTAGAAGAGGCTCCCCCTGATTTAGCAGGAGCTTGACATTGGGATCCATGGGAGTGTCGACTGGCTTGGAAGTTAACATTGTTGTTTCTTCCAAAATATCCATTGCATATTTCCATTGGGAAATGATGATCCACTTTTGGACTGTGCTACTTCTATTCCCAAAAAATATTTGAGTTTGCCAAGATCCTTTGTCTGAAAATGTTTGAAGAGATGTTGCTTCACCTGTACAATGTCTTGATGGTCACTACTTGTGATGACAATGTCATCAACATAAACGACCAAATAGATGCAACCGGTAGGAGAGTGACGATAGAAGACAGAATGGTTAGTCTCATTTCGAGGCATGCCAAACTGTTGAATCACGTAGTGAATCTGCTGAACCATGCTCTGGGTGACTGCTTGAGGCCATATAAGGATTTTCACAATCGACATACAAGACCAAAGGACTCCCCCTGAGCAACAAAGCAAGGCGGTTGCTCCATATAGACTTCCTCTAGCAAATCACCATGTAAGAAAGCATTCTTAATATCCAGGGATACCAAATTATCACTTTGTAAAGTTCGAATAGGGATACCAAATTAATTTTTTATTTCATTAAAAAAAAGACTGAAAAATTGAAACATTTCATAACGTTCTTTCCTTAAGTATAACTAAGTACAACAGGAAAAATCATCTATAAAAGTGACAAAATACCTAGATCCTAATGTAGCCCAAACATCTGAATGAACTAAAACAAAAGGGGACGAAGCCCGACTCATAATGCGACTAGAAAAAGAATGACGAACATGTTTGCCTAATTGACATGACTCACAAGACAAAGACTCTGACTTAGAAAGACTAGGGTATAGCTGCTTCAACTTATCAAGACATGGATGTCCTAATTGAGCATGAATCAGAAGTGGAGACGCTTCTGCTGAACCAACAAGAGAAGGCTTGTTGAGCTAATAGAGACCATGAGACTCACATCTGGAGCCAATCGTCCTCCCCGTAATTTGGTCCTGCAGGGAAACATAATTTTTGGTAAAAGATATGACACAATCAAGAGACCTAGTAAGTTGACTAATGGACAATAAATTAAAGGGTGCCCTAGGGACATAAAGGACATTGTTAATAGAAAGAGAAGGAAGAGGATGAACATTACCAACACCTTGGGATTGAGTTTGAGACCCATTTTCCATGGTGACAGAAGGTAAATAACCAGAAGTAGAAAGAGAAGAAAAAAGGGATTTATTACCAATGATGTGATCGGTGGCCCCAGAGTCAAGGACCCAAGGGCCTGAAGAGTGAGAAAGACCAACGAAGGAATTACCAGTGTGTGCAACAGCAGCAGTAGAACCGGAGGCCTGACGATCATCATACCATTTCAGAAAATCGTCATAAGAAGGTGATAGATATGGATCCAGAGCCAATGTCGAAGCAGAAGTGGATGAAGAAGACACAGAACTCTGGGCCACCTGGGCAGTGCGAGGAGGTTGACCATGCAGAGTCCAGCACTTATCAATTGTGTGTCCCGAGCGGTGGCAATGATCACACCAGGGACGTCCTTTGCCGCCCTTGCGCTGTGAAGGTTGGTTGGTGTGCGAGAAACCAAAGCCAAAGAGTCAATAGGAATGGGAAACAAAGGCTCAGAGGAGGATTTGGGGGGCACACGGAGGAGGGTCGCCCAAGTACTATCCATAGTAGCTTCTGTAAGGCTCCCCAAGATCTGATCACGAACATGAGAATATTCTGGGGGCAGACCGTATAAAGCCAAGGACATGAAAAAATTCTTGCGATTGTCAAGTTCTACATCTGGAGTGGCAGCAGGAGGAAACAATTCGTTGAACTCACAAAGAAGGGTTGATACCAAGCCAAGATAGGCCGACATAGAATCCTTAATTTTCTGGGCACTAAGGACAGTCATGAGGTCTTCACAAACTTGGTAGAGTCACCGAGAATTGTTTGTAAAGAGTTGTTGGGCTTGTGTCCAAACAGCCTTGCAAGTTTTGTGAGTGCGAAAGACATCACGAAGAGATGAGTGAATGGTGGCTCGAATGATGCAACACAGTTGAGTGTCAACCTTTTTCCAGAGAGGACGGTCGGCCTCCGGGACATCATCTGCTGTTTGGGTGATATGTGTCTCATAACCCTGTCGAACAAGCCAAAGTTCAATGTGAGAAGCCTAGGAGGAGTAGTGCTTACCGTCCAATTTCTCAGAAGAAAGAGGAGTAGTGACATGGTTGGTAAAAATCTGGGTATCAACTTTTGGAGTGCTAGAGACAGCCATTGGTCAACGAGAAGAGAGAGAAAATGCCCAAACAGCAGCGAAAAAGGGCAAAATAAGATAGAGTAAATCTCCAAACGCAAACCGAGACTGAACACAGGTAGAGGAGAGAGGGGCGAGCAAACCCCAATCGACGGCGTCAGGAACGAACGTCGGACGCGCTGTCACGCGCGAAGAGAGAAGGCGGCGCATGAGAAAACTGCCTGAGGAGAAGGCGGCGCGTGGGGGCGCGTGAGGGCTCTGATGAAGGCGCGATCAGTGGGGTTCGGCCGATCTGACAAGGGCGATCATGATGGCGGGGTTTCCGTAGTGATCAGAGGTCGGACAACGGCGGCAGCAGCGACGGAAGAGGCAGCGGCAGCGGCGATTGGTGGTGGCGAAACAGTGGCAGCGGCGCCAGAAAAAAAAAAAAAAAAAAGGCACCGGTGAACAGTGGGTCCACCGAGAAAAAATAAGGATTAGGGTTGCCTCTCTAGGCTCTAGATACCATGTTGGGAGAGAAAATATTGAATCCATGTGTTTAGGGCACAACGGAGTTATTCCAATTTATAGAGAAGAGTAAATAATTACAAAATATACAGTTACTATATTTACAAGATTCTAATAGATTCTAACAGTGGCAAAAGCAATTTCCAAATTTAATTTTTCTTTTGAAATAGGTGATATTAAAATAAAATCATTATTTGTGTAAAAGTATAATTCGAGTAAAATAGGTTTGGTTTTCTTTTGTTTAGTTTGAAAGCTACATAAGTACTGTTGTTTCCTTTGATGTTTTCCCTGCTCTTTTTTTTGTTTTTGTTGTATTAATGTTTCTATGATTGTATCTATTTTTGCTCTCTATGTTTTTCTAAAGATGTAGTAATAATTGACAAAAAAGTTAATAATAGTAACAAAGAAAAGACAATTAATGTTGTTCATAATAATCATCAAGTTATTTTTTTTTAAATTTTAGCATATTGATTCTATATTTCCAACATGAAAATGTCTCTAACATTCTATATTTCTACAATAAAAAGAAACTTGTTGTTAGAGCTTCAACAAACCATGGTTTATTGACAAATCACAGGTTGTGAAACTGTAACATTCAGTTGAGCCTTTGGGAAAAATTAGATGTGCTAAGAAGGTAGGTAAGAGCAATTCACACTATTCAAATTTCATCAAACATCATGGACTAGTTTATCCTCCAATAATTGAATCAGGAGAACCTTTGTGGAAGAATTATTATAAATTTAAACCATTATTTCCTAATCATCCCACTCATACCAATCCTATTTATTATCCATTGGATGACCCTCTTGTTACAATCTCTAATGAAGCTAGAAATGAAATTTTGAAAAAAAATCCAAAGTTTTAAACAATTTGATAGAGTTGAAGACACTTTAGACCATTATTATATTTGCAATAATGGATTTTAATATCAAACATTTCAAAAGAAAAATTAAATTTTAAATTTTTTTTTGCCACAAAAAAGTTGCGAGCAAAGAAAAAGAGGATTGTGAGAATGAGAACGAGAGAAGAGAATGAAGGCTTCAGAAAGGAAAAGGGAAACAAGAAGTAAAAAAGTGGTGCAAGAAAGGGGAAGGAAAGTTACGGGTAAGGGAAAAGGGGCTAGAGAGAGAGAGCGGGAGATATGTTTGGTGGGTTGGGGGGAAAGAGATGGAGAGATATGGGAGGAGGAAAGAAAAGGAAAGGAAAAAAGGGAAGTTTCACAAATTTTCAATAATTTTTTTAAATAAAAGATTTCATATAGGATTAAATAAACGATGCTAAGTCACTTCAGTGCCACGTAGAACGACTATGTTAGGTTATGTAACAGAAATAACGGAAATGACTAATATGAGAAAAAATAATAATAATTTGATAATGAAAATGAATAAAAAAAAAGTTAGAGGATGAAGCAAATTTTATCCTAAAGTTAAGAGAAAAAAAAGTAATTTTGCTTAAAAAATATTAAAAAAATAAATATCAGTCTTATAAAAGTCTAAAAAATACCTAGATAGAAAGCATGTTTCATAAATGTCCTATTTTATATTAATTTATTTTTAATTTTACCTTATTTTGGCAATAAAACCCTGTGATCATAGAATACAAGGTCAAAAACTTTCGACCATTAAACAAAACTAGATACGATTTTTCCTTGGATAAAACTTAATGAATAAAATTATAAAATTTTTATTTTCTAAATTTTTGAAATATATGCGATGCACAAGATAAAAAATTATAACATCTAATACTATTAATATATTTAGTTACATTAAATTTTAAGAAAATATAATTTTTGACATGAATTTCAAAATACTCATATGCTCAAACCTATCATGTAAATTGTGAATATCAATTTTTGTTAAAAAAAATAGTTTTTTTTGGTATTTTTTTTATCTTATTTGACTAAAGCATAAAAAATTGGTCCTTGCAAATTTAGAAAATAAATTTAACTTTTAATGGAGAAATTAATCCTTACTTAATTGTAAAGTAACACCAAAGGATTGTTCTTATATATATGAAAAAGAAAATGCATTAAAAACTGGTTTTGTTTTTAGTATGATAAGAATAAAAAAGGAAGCACTCAGCCTCACATAAGCACGAGGGGAGATTGAAAGAAAATGGAAATAAAAACGGAGAAGAGAAGGGAAATGGGACACCAATAAAACAGAGAGAAAGGAAAACTGAGAGGAGGAGAAGAATAAAAAAAAGGTAGGAGAGATTAAAAAATAAAAGAATAAGGAATATTAGGAACAAATTAAAACAAAAAAAATAAAGAGGAGGAGAAAAACTATGAAGAGGGT